TTCTAGGTGCTCACCTAGAAATTCTGCTGCTTGATGACTTTTCCCGAATTTTCCCAGGTAGTGACGTCAAGCTGATTGGTCTGTAATTTCCTGGATCCACTTTTTCCACTTTTTTGAAAATTGGGAACCCATCAGCTCTTTTCCAATCCTCTGGTGGGTCCTGTGTCCTCCAGGAGCTCTAAAAGACAACTTTCACCCATTGTCCCCTTCATCCCTAGTGTTAAGAATTAAATCTACTACAGCTGACTGTAGTTCTCTCTTCCAATTTTTTTGGATGGCAAAGTTGTAAGATAGGCATGTGATATGTGATCACAGAAGTGTTTCGGTAATCCTCGGATTGTCTGTTTCCTGACTTGACCTAACTACAAACGCTTGCAGGAAGAGAATAAGATGGAATAATGTTGCTGGAGTAGTGTGGGAAATAATATCCATCTGGTTCAGTTCCAAGCCAGGAGAAAGACACTGGAAACATGGAGGCTGATTGGAAAGAAGGTTTAGTGATGAACAGAACCACCTGGGTTCTGGTGCAGCTGACCACATGGAGTTGAGAGTGGATGGCTTTTATACCTTCTCTTGAGTTTTGCACTTGAACTTCCTGTTCCTGTGCAAGAACATGTATTCTATTGGCTGTTGTCAGACTCCCGTGGAGCCATGTAGGGGTTGTAGCTGCCTCTATAGGCAAAGTACAAATCCTAGGGGTTTGTCCAAGCTACGTTTGGATGCGGTTTGGACTGCTGATACAATTTATTTATTTATCGATTGGTTTGGAGAAGGGCGGCATATAAATTGAACTAATAAATAAATAAATAAATATGCCACCCTTCTCCGGAGACTCAGGGCGGCTTACAACATGTTAAGCAATAGCCTTCATACTTTTTGTATATACCTGCTTAGTAGGGCTTTCGCCCCCCCCCCAAGCAGTGTTTTTTTTATACAAAGTCAGCTTATTGCCCCCACAATCCAGGTCCTCATTTTACCTATGGAAGGATGGAAGGCTGAGTCAACCTTGAGCCTGGTGAGATTTGAACTCGCAGTAATTGCAGGCAGCTGGCAGCTAAGTGCTACTTTAATAGCACTTTAGTCTGCTGCGCCACAAGGCTCAATGAAGGGGCTTGTGTTCTGAAAGGGTGTTGGGCAATTCCTATTGAGGCTTAATGTCTTTGTCCTGTGTTGGGTCTTGACTGAGGGTTATTTGCTTATGAATAGAGCCATCTAGATACTTGTCTTCTTTCAATAAGATCTTTATCTCTTAAGTGCTGACATCTGCTATGGGCTATTAAGAAAAGGAGGGGGCTGCTTTCCGACTCAAAAAAAACATGTTTCTCCATTTCTCATTTAGAGAAATATAATATTCTCCCTTTTTTAATATTTCCCAAAATATTTCATTCTTCTGGGAGGGTGGGTGGGTGCTAAGTTTCTACAGTAGGAAGGGCTGAGAGGGGACCTTCCTTCTGCAAACACTCTATTAGTGTACCATCTCACCCCCTGCCTTTCTTCTCTCTTCCCAGAGTGATGGCTCAGCTCACACAGTGGCTTTGGAGACATGAATACTGGCTACCTCCAGGATTCACCTGGGAGGACATGCAGGAGACGGAGGACGTCCACTATCCCCAACCCCATCACCTCCTGTTCGGCCTCCCCATCGCTCTCCTGATGGCCGCCCTCCGGTTCTTCTTTGAAAGGCAAGCTCTTGCCTTTCGTTCTTTCAGCCAAAACCAAGGAGCAGTGGAAGGAAGAGACCCCCCCACACACACACACCCCTATTTGGAGAGACCTTCCCTTCCCTTCCCACCCAAATGCTTGACACAGTGGATTGCTCCTTTTGCTTTTAGCAATCATTTTGGATGAATTGAATTTGTAAGGTTGACAAATAGGAGAGCCAAGGGAAGTTGAATATGGCATTATTATGTGTGACATTGCTTGTTGTTTGTATTAGCTTCCTAATCCAGGAAGAGGCACGATCGGGGTCCAATATGAAGGTTGGCAAAGGCCCTCCTGGTCTTGGCTGCTACCTGTTCCTTAACCAGGAACCCCAAATCTAGGATGACCCCCAGATTAGACCCTGGTTCTGCTTGGAGTAGGGCAACCCCCTCCAAATGAGGCTCTGTTTCTGTTTAAGTTTGTGCAACTCCTTTTAGAATAGAAGATGGAGAACATAATTTCACTCAGTTTTGCTAGGGTTGATATCACTCCTGGTACTAAAGAATGCATTCCATAGTTTATGCTCTTCATCCATTTTCTAAATGTCCTTACAGCAAAGAATACAGAGCAATATGTTTCTTCTCTGTCAAGTATTTAATCCATCCATTTAAACGGGTTAAAGGTTCACTTTGGTGCTACTGTATATTAATATAGTTTTTTTTTCCAAGTGTGATTCTAATCACTATTATTTAAAAATTATTTCATTCCATTATAACCATTTTTATTATTAGTTTATTGGATTTCACCACTTTTTAAAAACGCAGGTTACATTCACCAGACTTGCATTCTTTGCGTTGGTTTCATGTGTTGGCCTGTTCTTGAATGGACCGTGAAACAAGAAAGCTAAGGACCTTCTAAATTTAGAACATAGAATAATAGAGTTGTAAGGACCTTGGAGGTCTTTTTGTCCAACCCCTGCTTGAGAAGAAGGCCCAATACCACGTCAGGTTAATGACTGTCCAGTCTCTTTTTGAAAGCCTCCAGTGATGGAGCACCCACAAATTCTGAAGGCAACTGGTTAATTGTTCTAACTGTCAGGAAATGTCGTCTTAGTTCTCAGTTGCTTCTTTCTTTGATCAGCTTCCATCCATTGCTTCTTATCCTGCCTTCAGAATAGGCTCCCCTCCCCCCCGACTCTTTGTGGCAGCTCCTCAAATATTGGGAGACTGCTATCATGTTTCCCCTAGTCCTTCTTTTCATTCGATTAGACGTATCCAATTCCTGTAACCATTCCACATATTTTTCAGCCTCCAGCCCCCTAATCATTTTGGTTGCTTTTTTCTGCACTCTTTCCAGAGTCTCAACATCTTTTTTATGTTGTGGTGACCAGAACTGGATGCAATATTCCAACTGTAGTCTTACTAAGGCTTTGTAAAGTGGTACTAGGAATGTTGTGTAATCTTGATTCTATGCCTCTATTAATGCAGCCTGGGATTGCATTGGCTTTTTTGGCTGCCGCTGCATGTTGTTGGCTCCTGTTTAAGTGATTGTCCACTAAGACTCCAAGATCCCTCTCCCAATTACTGACATTAAACCAAGTTTCACCTAGCCTGTACATTAAGTTTTTCTTGCCTAAGTGCAGAACCTTATTTTTAGCCAGTGTTCATTTGCCTGACCGAAGCTGTTGCCTTCTCCAGGAAAATTGCCATCCCCTTGAGCAAAAAGCTGGGTTTGCAAGAAAAGGTGAGACAGAAACCTCCTCCAAACCCGATTCTGGAAGCTTTTTACACAAAGTGGAGGAAAAATCCCCAAAAGGTGAGTTTCTTCCTCACAGGATTGCAGATAAATACCATCCATCTCTCTCTCAGAAGAACGAGGGGCAGTTGACAGCTCAAAGGATAAACATCATATGAAAGTAAAATACATCAATAAAACGGGAGCCTAATATAAAGACAGAATAAGGTAAAAATGAAAAGGTGAGTGGAGCGCCTTTAAGGGTTAATCACTCTCAGGTTTGCATGCCACACTGCAAGCCCCATACAAGTTGGCAGAGCCAGATGTTCATGTTTTTCTGGAAGGCCGGGAGTGTGGGGGCCCACCTCTCTGTTTTTCTCCCCCCCCCATCCCTACATGTGAATTCATAGCACAGAGAAATTAACGAAATATTAAAAACTGGGGCGGGGCTGTTGCATTTCCCAGAAACGTGATCTTGGGACTTGGCTGTGCAGCTTGTCTCACCTGGTTCTGCCTCCTGCCTTTTAGGAAGAAGTCAGCGGCTTAGCCAAGCAGTGTGACCTCCAACCAAGGCAGGTAGAGAGATGGTTCCGGTACCGACTGAATCAGAACCGGCCCAGTGTGACCAAGAAATTCTGTGAAGCCAGGTGAGTGGAAACTCTTGGGGCAGGGCAATCCATGTGGACCAGAGCATCTCTTAGTGCCCAAGAGGATCTTTGTCACTGTTGACTTTACAAGAAGATTCTGAATGATTTAAGAAAGGTGTTTGTGTTGGTTGCCTGTTTGAGGAGTCTTTATCAATTGATCAAGGATGCTTCTCCCAAAGTTTCTGTACTTAGAGAGGGTTTCTAAGCTTGAAGAACGTTCACTGGGGAAGGGAAAGTCTTTGAAATCAACTGATCCCCTGTGTAGCTGGATTCTGTCAGAAAGCTTTGGAGCACAGGGAAGAAGAGACCGGCTGAGTCATCAGCTGGGATGGGGCAATGGGAGAAGATGGCAAGGAAGCAAATGGCAGTAGGCACAAAGTAGAACAGCTTAATTCATTCTTTGCACCTGTCTACATGCAAAAGGAAAACAATACCCCAACCTACCAAAAGTAGAACCATAAAAAGAGACTAGTAGTACATGTCCAAATAGGTCAGAAATGGTAAGAAACACCTCTCTACCATAGAGTCCAAATTACCAGATCCAAATGGTTTACATCCCAGAATTCTGAAGGAGCTGGCAGATGTGATCTCAGAATCACTGAACTATATTTTCAAAGATCCTGGAGCACTGGGGAACTACCAGAGGCCTGGAACAGAATTGGTGAGGTTCCTATCTTCAAAAAAAGAAAAAGGAGGAAAAAAAAAAAGGAAAAAAATGAATCCAGGAAATTACAGACCAATCAACCTGCCATCAATACCTGTGAAGATCCTGGAAAAGATTATCAGGCAACAAATCATTGAACACCTAAAGGCAAGCAAAGTTAAAACTAGATGTGTTTGTCAAAAACATATTATGCCAAACAAATCTTATTGCATTCTTTGATTAAATGACTAAATTAGTGGACCAGCAAAATGCTGAGGGCACAGTATGCTAGGACCTCAGTAAAGCATCTGACAAAGTAGACCATCTACTACCTACTACTTAATAAGAGAGGAAAATGTGGAATAGATATTATCATTTTCAGATGAATTCGTAACTGGCTGATACATCACATTCAACATTTAGTCCTCAATGGAACTACATCAGAGGGAAGTATGCAGTTGGATACATCTTTCCTTGGATCCAGTACTCTTTTTTTTTTATTGAAAAGTTTTATAAGAAATACAAACAATTTTCTCCCCCCCACCCTTTCCCCCTCCCCACATAATAGAAAATATACATTTTCTTGTACATAATAAATCCTACATATACATGTTCCTCTTAAAGAAAGCATTAAAATAAAATATTTTAATTACATTCGGAGTTGCTCTTCTTCTCTTTCTTCCCTCATTCCACAACAAACCTTCTTCTTCTCCTCCTTTCTTTCCCTTCCCTCCCTCCTCTTCTCTCCTACTTTCTCCTGCCTCCTCTCCTACCTCATACTACTTCCTTTTCCTTTCCCCCACTTCTCTCTTCTTTTCCCCCTTCTCACCTTCACTCCTACTCCTGTCCCCTTCCCTTCCCTTCCTCCTCTCCTTTCCTCCATTCCTCTCCCTCCCTCTCCTCTTCCTACCCTCTCCTCCTCTCTCCTTTGCTGTGAAATATTTTCCTCCTTTAGTATCTGAGCAACTCCTGTATTCTAATCATAGATACTTTCTTCTGTTAAAACATTCCTCTATTCACCACTTTTTTCTTACCCCGACCCTTATCCCACCCTCCCCACCCCCCTGACTTCCCAGAGCAAAAACAGGGTATAGCATCTAACAAACATATGCTAAAATAAACTAACTAATTATAAAGTTCAAAACTCCCACACATTCTTTAACTCCCCTTGCTCCAATTCATCAACCTCCCTTTTATAAATTCTCACAACCAATTAAGTTAAATTCATTCTTCCTAATTATAAAAAAACTTTTCCTTGATGTATAATCCAATACTTTAACAATATTACAAACAGTAAAAATCATGAATAAATTCCATTTCCATACCCTCAAACATCATTCTTTTAAACATAACTCCCTAATGAAATTCTGAATTTAACATTAATCCTCTTTCCTTCAGAAAAATTGGGCATCTTGAAATCTTACACATTTTATCTCATATATCTTTTAAAATAATATAATCTTATGTTAAACATTCTAAAATTCTCTTAATACCATTAAAACACTTATTTACCAAATATGAATTTCAAAATCTGCAGGAGGATATCTTTCAGATTTTCAATTAACCATTTTAATACCTCTAATTTTTTTTTTTTAAACAGCCCTTTTACTTATCCAAAACCAATTATCATTTTGTAATAGGATTCTGAATTTAACATTAATCCTCTTTGCTTCAAACAGTTGGGCATCCTGAAAGCTTACACAATTTATCTCATATCTCATATATCTAACATAACTCCCTAATTAAATTCTGAATTTAACATTAATCCTCTTTTTTTCAGAAAAATTGGGCGTCTTGAAATCTTACACATTTTATCTCATATATCTTTTAAAATAATATAATCTTATGTTAAACATTTTAAAAATCTCTTAATACCATTAAAACACATATTTGCCAAATGCAAATTTCAAAACCTACAGAAAGATATCTTTCTTAATCTTCTGTTCTTCTCTTCTTTCTATATTTTTTCCAATCCTTTTTTTTTATAAATTCTTTCAACAGTCCCCCAATTTTATTTTTGAAAATTTTAAAATGTTGATTTGAGGTTGATGTTTCTGAAATACTCGCTCTCTTCTTGAGGTCACGTTTTCTAATTTGAAATCCCCATTTCGACTCTTCTTGCTTGTATAATCATTCAGTCCCTTCCTTTGTCCATATAGCCAAAATTTGTTGCCATAAAGGTTGTCAGCTTGCAATAAAGAGTCTGTTTGTTGCTTTTCTATCAATTGAATGGAAATGTCCGCCAAAACCATTGTTTCGACTGTGCCAGCCTGCCTTTCACTCCTGACAGCCTTTTGCTTTTCCAAAAACAAACTCCTCTGAGTAATTTCCTGCTGGCCATCCAACAACTGCTTATGTTTTCCCAAGCTGTTTTTTGAAAAAGCTCTTTCAATTGTGTCCAAAAGAGCAAATTGAAGGAGTCTAAGAGTTCTTGAAAAACCTGAACAGTCACAGCTTGAGAATTTGCTGATTCACCAGCCCTGCTGTCAGCCATATTTCAGCCACTTTGTATTCATCCAGCTATCAGGACGACAATTCCAACTATTTTCCACACAGTATAAAAGCAAGCTTTTAGTTAAAATCACTACTAAATTCTTTTCCTCGATACCAAACTCTTTTCCTGGACGCTTCCACTTTAAAACTTTCTCTTAGGGTGTAATCCAGTAACTGTATCACTGTTGCGAACATTAACAAGCGTTAACAAGCACTTTCCCTAGTAGCTTCCTCCTCCCGCTCTCAGACGCCATTTTCTGCATTTTAAAACAGAGTTAAAGTATTACTTGCAATTTTTTCCTTTTTTCTCCTGATTTGCTCAGTCTGCAATCAAAGTAAAGATGTTAAAAGTCCCACCAGTTGTTTTCAGGAGATTTTGGTTGCGGCTTCTAGCTCCGCTTTAGCGGAGTCATCCCTGGTCCAGAGCAGCTTGACAGGCTTCAATAGGGAGCCCACACCCTTCACGCCCCAGGATTTCTCCTAGCGCACTTGGGGGGCTCTACCTCTGCCTGTCGGCTCTTCTCTCTCCCCTTTGCCCGGGGAGAGGGTTTTTCGCCGCCAGACAGCTGTTTTTCGGCTGTTCTGGCAGCATTTATGGTGCCGGGGAGCGGGCGCTCATAAAAGAGCGTCAGCAAAGCTCGCGGAGCCAAACAGGAAGTCAGATCCAGTACTCTTTGACATCATCATCAATGATTTAGATGAGGGAATAGATGGAGAACTCATCAAATTTGGAGATGACAACAAGCTAAGAGGAATAGCCAACACTTTAGAAGATAGGCTCAAGATCTAGAAGGTCTTGAGAGACTTGAACACTGGGCCTATCAAGAAAATGGTAAGACATTTCTTTCTCTTTTTCTTTCCCTTCACCATTTTCCCACTATTTTCATTTTCATTTTATATTTTGACTAGCTGATAACCTGGTGTTGCCCGGGTATTTATTTATCGCTGGCTCCCCCCTCTCTGTGTGTATCTCTCTCTCCCCCCCTCTCCCCCCTCTCTATCTCTCTCTTCCCCTGTCTCTCTGTCTCTCTCTCCCACCTCTCTATTCCCCTCCTTTCTGTATCTCTCTCTCTGTCTGTCTGTCTCTCTCTGTATCTCTCTCCCCGATTCTCTGATTTGAGGCATCGGGCAGGCCATGAGGCACTCTCACAGTGCCTTGCACAGCATAGTGAACTTTAGTGCGCTTCACAGTAGGGTAGATTGGGTCCCCTCCTCCTCCTGGAGCCCATTATGACACGGTGGCCCCCCTCCCCCTCCTCCTCCTCTCGCAATCCATGGCCAGCTGTGGTGGGGCTGGGAGAGTGCACCGTTACCATGGCAACTCCACTGTGCTGTCCAGTAGAAGCCATTTTAAGGCAGTCCAGTAGAAGCCATTTTAAGGCACAACAGGCTGTATCTTAACAGAACACACACCCCGAGGGGTGTTAGCAGTGGTTTTATCCCCACAGTATTTCTTTCCAGGGAGTAAGTCATCTGTGTACCATGTTTGGTTGAAATTGCTTGAGGTGTTCCAGAGTTATACTGGTGGAAGCCATTTTAAGGCAGTCCAGTAGAAGCCATTGTAAGGTACAACAGGCTGTATCTTTGGCTGGGTATTTATAGACGTCGAAGCATTTGTCTGACAGGGAGCCATTGGGAGGGGGCTTTCTTCCCCCTACTCCAGTGCCCATCTTCCATGCCCTCCCCCTTCCCCCTCCAATGCGTTCCTCTTTCCCACCCTTTCTATGATCCTGGCACTTTGCCCCAAACCCACCAGGGGTGATGTCAAACCATTTGTCTGTCAGGGAGCTTTTGGGAGGGGCCTTTCTTCACCCTTCTCCCATGCCCATCATCTCTGCCCTCTCCCTTCCCCCTCCCATGTGCTCCTCTTTCCCATCCTTTCTAATATCCTGGCACTTTGCCCAAATCCATCAGGCACTTCCCCATTGGTCCACTGGAGGGAGAACATCACAGCTGGCTTTCCAGAGGTAGCTTCAAAGAAACTGACATCACAAGCAATTGCTGCTCTAGGGCAGGGGTCACTAACCTTTTGGACCTCCGGGACCACTAAATTCATAATTTTAAATCCCACGGACCACTAATTTGAATTTTTTAAAAAGATAAATAGTATTTAGTGCAATATAAAAACATGCAAAGAATTTTTTCTGCGGACCACCAAAATTCCGTGGTCCACCTGTGGTCCACGGAACACCAGTTGGTGACCACTGCTTTAGGACACTGCACTCGCTCCCCTTAATGGCCCAACTTTCCAGAGGAAGCTGCAAGGGAACTGACATCACAAGGAATTACTGCTCTAGGATGCCGCATTCACTCTCCTTAATGGCCCAGGTATTCCAAAGTTATGCTGGAACACACACACAGAGACACACACACACACACACACAGAGACACACACACAAGGGGTGTCTTACACACACACACACACACACACACACACCAGTATTTGTTTCCAGAGGGTAAGTCATCTGTGTACCAAGTTTGGTTGAAATTGCTGGAGGCGTTCCAGAGTTATGCTGGAATACACACACATACACACACACACACACACACACACACACCTACCTATGGGTTCTAGAGGTGTCTTACCTCCACAGTATTTGTTTCCAGAGAGTAAGTCATCTGTGTACCAAGTTTGGTTGAAATTGCTCAAGGCGTTCCAGAGTTATGCTGGAACATACATATAAGCATACATCCTTTTTTTATAGAGAGAGAGATAAATTCATTAAAATTATATTTTAGAAAAGAAGGGCATTTGTGTGATACAAAGGGAAGCATCCCCCTTCAGCATCTTACAATACTGGTAGTAATGTGTTTTGGCCTCCAAACCAGTGAAGGGCCCAATTAGATTGTCAGAGAGCACATCTGTTGGGTGTTTGTTACTGGCAAAGCAAAGCGAGGCAATCATTTGGTGGATGGACAGTCATATCTCCTCTGTGATCCACAACCAAACTAGTCATCTTGACCAATTCAGACATCGATGGAGAAGCTAAACAGAGTTAAATTTTGCAGAAGAGAAAATTTTAGGGCTGTAGGTTGGACTGGAAATTGGAAAGCATCTCAAGAAAGAGGAGTGCTGACCAAAAAATAAAAGATACGTAGATGTCTCTATGACATAACCAGAAGTTGAGATCAACTTGACGAAATCTTTATTTTCAGTACTTACATAATACATTCAGGGAAGAGAAGAGATCTATTCAACTGTTCTAGAAACCAGAATCTGGACCAAGGGGTTCAAGTGGAAGAAAGGCTAAAGGGTGGGAAAGTTATTGATTGCTTCAGAAGGTGGAAGTGAGGGCTGTTGGAGCAGTCTCAGTCCTCTGTCAGATGGATTTTGTATTCCATTCTAGCACTAGAAGCTCTGGATCTCTCAGCCTCTTGTCCAATTATACCCTGATGCTTTTTTCTGATTGTTTTCCAGCTCGAGAACTGTGCATTCCCTTATTCACCTCTTCATTGACTTGGCCATCCTTTATGATGTGAGTGCCAACTTTCCCTACTTCTATTGGTCATTGTCAAAAAAAACCTGGTCATGCGTAATGCAGGTATTGACCTTCTCTGCCTCCCACCTCCTAACATTTAATGATACATTTTTGATTAGCAAATAGGGGTCCACTTTTCAACTCTTTCCAATGTCTTAGTAACTACAGTTGCTTTGTGGTCTCCTTTCTCTTCCATTGTCCCCTTCATGTCAGGTCTAAAGAAGTTGGTATGGAGGAGGGTGATTCCATCAGGATTCCATCAGGACTGTCGGTGGGAGGGGCAGATATGGTGGGAGCAGGGGGCCATATCGTGTTGTGGGGGCACGTGCCTGCTGTCTTCAAATGGTGATGTGCTCCAGCCCCCAATGCTCACCTCATTCCCTGAGTTGTCCAGAGTCTAGGAGCCCCGGTCTTAGGCTGATGCTGTGCAACGCCAGGTCCGTGGTCAACAAAGCCCCCCTCATTTGTGAGCTGATTCAGGAGGGGGAAGCAGACCTGGTGGGTATTACAGAGACCTGGTTGGGCCAGGAGGGGGGATCCCCCTTGTTGAGATGTGCCCACCGGGTTTCCGCGCATTCCATCAGCCGAGGTCCCAGGGTAGGGGTGGTGGAGTGGCGGTTATTGTAAAGGAAGGTCTCGATCCTAGGGAGGCCACTGTACCTCAGATAGCCGGATGTGAGTCTCTCCTTGTGAAGTGGGGCCATGGGATGCAGGTGGGTTTGCTGATTGCATACCTGGCTCCCTGCTGCGTGGCAGCGGCCCTGCCCAAGCTCCTTAACGTCATAGCTGGGGTGGCGGTTGAGACCCCCAGGCTTTTGGTCATGGGGGATTTCAACCTGCCGTCCATCAGTGAAATGTCGGAGGTGGCTCGGGAGTTCATGGCTTCCATGACAGCCATGGACCTGACCCAGTTAATTCATGGCCCTACTCATATAGGAGGACACACTCTGGACTTGGTTTTTGTCTTTGGTCAGTGGTTGAATGGCCTAGATACAGGGGATATAGTCATTGAACCCTTGTCGTGGTCATACCATTCTCTCCTTAGGCTTGACTTCCTGACCGCTACACCCCACCGCAGGGAGGTGGAACTGACCAGGTGGTTCTGCCCCAGGTGCCTGATGGATCATGATAGGTTCCAAATGGAGCTTGGGCCATTCCCTGAGACTCTGTCGCATGACTCGTCGGAAGACCTGGTGGCTGCCTGGGATAGGGCAGCTGCTGGTGCTTTAGATTGGGTCGAGCCTTTGTGGCCTCTGACCCAGCACCGAATCGACCCAGCTCCTTGGTTCTCCGAGGAGCTGAGGGAGATGAAGCGCTGGAAAAGACGCCTAGAGAGTAGTTGGAGAGCTAGTCGTTCTGGATCTGACCGAGCACTAGTGAGGTCTTACATCAAGACCTACTTAGTGGCAATAAAAGCAATGAAGTGTAACTACTTTTCCGCTCTTATCGCATCAGCAGATAATCGCCCAGCCGCCCTGTTTAGGGTAACCCACTCCCTTCTCCATCTGGGAGTGCGGGAAGACCCCTTGCAAGGGCGTGCTGAGGATTTTGCATGTTATCTGCACGATAAAATCGCTCAAATTTGGGATGGCTTGGACTCTGACTGGGTGGGTTCAGGCAAGGTGTCTGAGGCAGGTCTTGAGACTGTTATCTGGGAGGAGTTTGATCCTGTGACTCCCGAGGACGTGGACAGGATGCTGGGGAGGTTGAATGCAACCACATATTTATTGGACCCATGTCCCTCCTGGCTGGTGCTAGCTACCCGGGAGGTTACACGAGGCTGGCTCCAGAGGATTATAAATGCTTCTTTGAGTGAGTGTTTCTTACCTCCCGCCTTGAAAGAGGCAGTGGTGAGGCCCCTCCTCAAGAAACCTTCTCTGATCCGGCTGTTTTGGCAAACTATCATCCTGTCTCCAACCTTCGCTTTGTGGTGAAGGTTGTCGAGAGTGTGGTGGCGCAACAGCTCCCACAGTACCTGGATGAAACTGTCTATCTGGATCTGTTCCAGTCTGGCTTCAGGCCTGGGTACAGCACAGAAATGGAATTGGTCGTGTTGGTCGATGATCTCTGGAGGGCTCGGAATAGGGGTTGTTCATCTGTCCTGCTCCTATTAGATCTCTCAGTGGCTTTTGATACCATCAACCATGGTATCATGCTGTGCCAGCTGGAGGGGTTGGGAGTGGAAGGCACCGTTCTATGGTGGTTCTCCTCTTACCTCTCTGACCGGTCGCAGTCCGTGTTGGCTGGGGGGCAGAGGTCGACCTCGAGGCACCTTGTTTGTAGGGTGCCGCAAGGGTCGGTCCTCTCACCTTTCCTGTTCAACATTTATGTGAAGCCGCTGGGTGAGATCATCCGTGGATTTGGGGTGTGATGCCATCTGTACGCTGATGACACTCAGCTGTACATCTCCACCCCAGACCACCCCAACGATGCCCTTGAAGTGATGTCCCAGTGCCTGGAGGCTGTGCGGGTCTGGATGGGGAGGAACAGGCTCCAACTCAACCCCTCCAAGACTGAGTGGCTGTGGCTGCTGGCGTCCCGATATAGCCAGCTGGCACCATCGCTGGCTATTGGGGGCGAGTCATTGGCCCCCATGGAGAGGGCTCGTAACTTGGGCGTCCTCCTGGATGCACGGCTTTCTTTAGAAGAGCATATGATGGCCGTGGCCAGGGGGGCTTTCTATCAGGTTCGCCTGATACGCCAGTTGCGTCCCTTTCTGGATCAGGACTCCTTATGCACGGTCACTCATGCCCTCATCATCTCTCGCCTGGACAACTGCAATGCTCTCTACATGGGGCTCCCCTTGAGGAGCACCCGGAGGCTCCAGCTGGTCCAGAATGCAGCCGCGCGGGTTATTATGGGGGCGACATGGCGCTCCCATGTAACACCTCTCCTGTGCGAGCTCCTGGTCTTCCGGGTGCGCTTCAAGGTATTGGTTCTCATCTTTAAAGCGCTCCATGGTTTAGGGCCCGGGTATTTATGAGACCACCTTCTGCCACCGATAATCTCCCACCGGCCAATCCGCTCCCACAGAGAGGGTCTCCTCAGGGTGCCGTCGGCCAAGCAATGTCGACTGACGACCCCCAGGGGGAGAGCCTTCTCTGTGGGGGCACCCACCCTCTGGAATGAGCAACTGATCCCAGACCTCCGTACTTTCCGTCAAACTTTGAAGACCTTCCTATTTCACCAAGCCGGGCTTGTTTAAAATTTTAATGGGTTATTTTATGGGCAAAGGGTTTTAAATTTTGGGAAGCCAATTTGATTTAATTCTTTTTAATTTATTTTAATTTTTATACTGCATGTATTTTAATTTTGGCTGTTCACCGCCCTGAGTCCTTCGGGAGAAGGGCGGTATACAAATTTAATAAACCTAAACCTGAACCTAAGTGTTGGTGGGCTGGTATGATGTTGCTCCTAATGAACGGTGTCTTCTTGCAGAAACCCTGGTTCTGGAATGCCCATGAATGTTTGGATGGGTACCCACAGCAGGTAAGGCATCAGGAGACATTTGAACAAACATTTCAATGGAGAAATGTGCATCAATTACTAATCCCTTTTGCTAAATCAATCAATCAATCAATCAATCAATCAATCTGTTATCTATTCTGCCTTGACTTTCCAAACATGACATTCATCCAAGCTTTAGGGATTCAATTCTTTCCTATTCTTGCAGCTGAAAAGCAAGTGATTAAGCAGCAATAAGAAATAGCACATGAGGCCAAATGTAAGGAAATCACCATCATGTCCCGGGCAAAATCATTGAACTTTCCTGACTTTCCTAGCTGACAAATTTATCCTCCAAAAGATAGAGTAGGGAACTAGAGTGACAGCTATATTGGACAATTATAATTAATAGCAATGATAAAGAGATATATAAGACACAGGCATTTGCAGATGATGTGGTATTAATCATGGAAGAACCATTAGAATCAGGCACTAAAATTCTGGAAGAATTGGGCAAGTTTGGGGAGGTAGCAGGCCTTAAATTAAATAAATCCGCATGCTTAAGACGTTCTTATTTCATCAATCTGGCCTAACCTAAACTTTTCCTCTTTTTAAATGGAATTTTAAATTTGGTTTTAATTTATTGGGGTTTTAAAATGGTTCAGCCAAATTTATTTAATTAGTTTTATCTCTATTTTAAATTTTGTATCTATATGTTTTATTTTATGGCTGTTCACCGCCCTGAGTCCTTCGGGAGTAGGGCGGTATACAAATTTAATAAAAGTGAAAAGTGAAAGTGAAATCCAAAACTAATTTATTAACAAAAAATATGACGGAGGTAAGGAAAAAAGTACTGGAAGAATCAATGGAGATCCAAACCGCCAAGAAGGTAAAATACCTGGGGGTCTGGATTTCATCAAGGTGCTCGGCCCTCAGAGAGGATAATTATTTACCATTGATTAGAAATATTAAACAGGATCTGGAAAAGTGGGGAAGACTACAGATATCATTATTAGGCAGAATCGCGGCAATAAAAATGAGCATATTACCCAAGTTATTGTATCTATTCCGAACGGTCCCTGTTAAATTAGATAAAAAAAAAAATTTTTGGAGCTCAATGGCATCATCAGGAAATTTATTTGGGAAGGAAAGAAACCAAGGATAGCAATTAGGAATTTACAGGACAAGAAGGAAAGAGGGGGTTTCGGATTACCTAAATGGGAGTTATATCAAAAAGCTGCAAACCTAGTATGGCTGAAAGAATGGGCAACCCTAAGAAATAAAAGACAGTTAACTTTAGAAGGGTATGATCTCCAGAAGGGTTGGCATGCATATCTCTGGGATACTGGGAAGAAGACAAAAACTTATTTCCATAGACATAAAATAAGGGAGATATTGATACAAATATGGGGAGAGATGAGACAGAAGCACTATAGGAAAATTCCGAGATGGCTTTCCACCATGGAGGCTATAATATATCCAAATATATTAGAAATGGGTAAAACGGTCAGATACAATGAATTATTAGATGGGGGAGGGAACCTTAAAACAAGGGAAGAATTGATGGAATAAGGTATTTCTATAGACTGGTGGCCATATAACCAAATTAAATCTAGATATAAAAAAGATAAGGAGGAATTTGGCATTGAAACGAGCATAAATGGATTTGACAAGATATGGATGGGTACGGATGACAAAATTCTAGCTAAATTATATAATTACTTATTGGAGTACGATATGGCAGAGGAAGTAGTTAAAGAACCGATGTTAGCATGGGCCAAAAATATAGGACAGAATATAAATTTGAACGAATGGGATTCAATATGGAATAATAATCTTAAAATGACAAAGGCGACAGCTTACAAGGAAAACCAATACAAGCTGTTTTATAGATGGCATATGGCCCCAGCTAGGATAGCGAAGATCTACCCCAATTCGAGCCCTAAATGTTGGAAATGTGACCATCAGCAGGGTACTTTTCATCATTGCTGGTGGACATGTAATCAGGCACAAAAATTCTGGAGGACGATATGGATGTGGATTAGAGAAATAATAAAAGAAAATTTTGATTTCGACCCAAAAGCCTTTCTCCTGGGAATTTTGAAAACTGAATATGCAAAAAAGAAAAAGTATTTAATTATACATATTCTGACAGCCGCTAGAATTTCCTTTGCCCAGTATTGGAAAGAAAAACAAATACCACCTCAAGAACATGTTATTGGAAAAATATTGGAGTGCGCCGAAATGAACAAATTGACTTCAGAAATTAATGACAGAGAAGATTCAGAATTTTATAGCGTGTGGGACATGTGGTACGAATGGATAAGGAAAAGAAATAAAGAAGGAAATAGAGATTAACTATTAATTAATTAACAAAATCTATATGAATAGTATTATATTTAGTCTTAGAGAGTTGAGCACTATTATCTTTAAGTGTTTTGAAATTAAATCTAGCTTTAAGAAACAATATCAAATAAAAGACAAGTAATAATGCATGTAGATGTATATATGTATATAATTGCACCAATGAACCGAAAATGTACCGAATGTATCACTATATGTTATAATAAAAATCAAATATATATATATATATATATAAAAGCAATGATAATGCAGGCACAGGTAACTTAACAAAGACTAGTGAGCTGACTTTAACAAACTACCATGTTTCCCCCAAAATAGGACATGTCCTGAAAATAAGGCCAAGCCTGATTTTTGGGGTGGGCATAAATATACGCCTTCCTCCGAAAATAAGCCCTAGTGAAGGGGTGGGGGTGGCCAGCCCAGAAGGCAGCCCTTCCCTTCCCCAGTCACCTCATTGAGGTTCAGCCCCTTAATTGCTGTTGATCAGCTGAGCCAGTGAGGGCTGTGCAACTCGGCCCAGATCTCCAGAACACCTCCCCAGCTGCCAGCCTCCTCCCTCTTTTCCTGCCGATAGTTCTTTACTTGGGATCACAGCACAGACACACATCCCCAAAATGCTCCATCTGAAGCCTTCAGCCTTCCAATCCTGGGAGGGGCGTCTGTACTGCAATCCCAAAGAAAGAATGGTGTGTGTATGAGAGAGAGAAAGAGACAGAGAAATCTGATCCAATCTTGGAGAGTTATCCAGGGCTGTCAGCAATGTTCTCTCTGTCCCCCCACTCTCTCTCTCTCTCTCACACACAGGTCCCTCACCCCCCCCAACCCTCCCAAGGCAGCCACATCCCTGCGAACTCCTGCGCCCCCATCTGCCCCTTCTGGTGTCCCCGCTGCCCATGGCATCAACTGTAGACCTCAAGTACCCGCTCCTGCGCCACGACGGCAGGCCCCCGCTCTCACCCCCATGTCTGCATAGCCGTGCTATCAAGCACCTGCAACAGCAGCCCCTGTGCCAGCATTGCCTCAGCAGGGCAGCCGGAAGTGACAGAGAGGCCTCCATGTGCGGCAGGTGGAAGTCAGCACACACTGACTTCCACCTGCTTCTGGTGGGAGCAGGGCAGCATGGTGGAACAGTCATGGAGGACTACAACTCACAGCTGGGTGCTGGACTTTTGGCGGGGATGGCTGAGGTGCTGCGGGTGTTGCTGGTGCTGCTGCCTCCACCTGTGGAGGCCACAGCCAGCCCCCTGCGGACAAGCTCAGCCACAGGCGGGGAGCGCTGGCCATGGCTAGGCCAACTGAGCTGCATTTGTCAGGGCTGCCCTTGGTGTGGTTGCCCAGCATCTCGCTGCTGGGAGCCTGGGAAGAGTAAGCAAGGCCTGCAGGAGGAAGGGGGAACAGGCAACGTGAGGCTCAACTCCCCAGGAAGAGTCCAGCCCATTTGCTATCCTATCCGGTCACTCCTGAGGCGGAGGGGCTTGCCGGTGGGCGCTCCGGTCAGTCAGCGCTCAGGTGGGGGGGACCTTGGGGTGATTAGAGTGGAGAGGAGCAGGGGAGGCCTCCGGCAACCATCACCATAGAGCGGGAAGCGTACTCCCAGAACGGCGGCTGCTCTGCCTGAGGTTTGGAAGCTGCAGAGGCAGAGTTTGGGGGAGAGAAAGAAAGACTTTTGCTGCTTCTGCTTTTGACTGCATTTATTTATTTGTTTATTTTATTTATTTATTTATTTATTTGTTTAAATTTCTATCCCGCCCTTCTCCAAATAGGACTCAGGGCAGTGCACAGCCTAAGTAAAAACAAAGCATACAAAATTTAAAAAACAGTATTAAAATAATTAAATATTCTGGCCGTAAATTAAAACAACCCAATTTAAAATCAATTTAAAATTTAGCTCAAGCCAGCCCAGCTAGTTGAAATAAATAGGTTTTCAGGGCCCGACGAAAAATCCGGAGGTCTGTTATTATACGTAACTCTGGGGGAAGGTTATTCCAGAGGGTGGGCGCCGTCACAGAGTAGGCTCTGGACTCGTGAGTTTTCTTTTACAACGTGTTTCCCTGGACACAAGGGCGAGGAACGTGACAGTGTTGGAAAGGTAAGACATGCATCCCACTTCTTGCCTGCCCCACTTGCCACCCCCAAATTGCATCCCTAAAGGGGGCAGGTGGCTAAGCATACCCAGCAAGGGTGGGGAGTAGAGATGGCAAGAGGAACCACATCTCGCTCCACACGTCTCACTTCTTCCCTGCCCCACCTGCCAGAAATGAGTCTTTGTGAGACTCGTTGCGCTGCCGCTGCCGCCGCCGCCTCATAGAGCAAGACTCTGCAAGGCTTGTGCCGCTGCACACATGAATGGCAGCGCTGCCGCAACGTTCGACATACTGGTGGAGCCACGAGTGGCAGGATGCCAGCTGGGTCAGTATGATGAAGCTCGTGGCAGTTCTGCAGTTCGTGTGTGCAATGGCAGAAGTCTTGCAGAGTCCTGCTCCATGAGGAAGTGGTGGCGGCAGAACACGTCACCAGGGGCCAGCCGTTCAGCCGGCATAAAGAACAGGGAGGGGAGGGGACAGAAGCAATGGGACATCCAGTCCTACGCTCACCACCTCCTGCACCCCCAAAATAATAAGACTCCCCGATAATAAGGCCAAGCCCTTATTTGGCGGGGGGGGGGGGTCAAAGGAAAATAAGACCCTGTCTTATTTTCAGGAAAACACGGTAAGAAAGACAATAGGAAGGATTCCACGTGTGGAAATTATAGAGTGAAAACCAATTCAGGATGATTGGGAAATTCTGAGAAACAAGGTAAAAAGGCCCGAACAGAAACAATTCCACAGAGAAAGAGAAACAATAGGCTCAAAATGAGATCAGCATGGTGGAACAAAGAATTCTCTGCCAAATTGAGAGACAAAATGGACAAGTGCAAAAAGAAAAAAAAAATGAAAAGGGGGCATATAACTATGACAGAATACTAGCAAGAACCCCGAATCTGCAAGGATTTAGTCAGGAAGGCCAAATTTCACAATTTATTTATTTATTAGTCCAATTTATATGCCGCCCTTCTCCGTAGACTCAGGGCGGCTTACAATGCATTATAGCAATAGCCTGCATACTTTTATGTATATACCTGCTTATTAGGGCTTTTGCCCCCCCCCTAATCTGCGGTGTTCTATCCAAAGCTGGCTTATTGCCCCACAATCCAGGTCCTCAATTTACCTACCTCAAAAGGATGGAAGGCTGAGTCAACCTTGAGCCTGGTGAGATTTGAACTCGCACTAATTGCAGGCAGCTGGCAGCTAAGTGCTAGCACTTAACAGCACTTAGTCCGCTGCACCACCGAGGCTCTTGAGATAAATGAAATAAGAAAAAATGAAATAAGAGTTGCAACAAATGCCAACAATAAGGAAAAAAAAATGTTTATTGTAAGAAGCAAGATGAGAGTCAAGGAACTGGTCAGTCCACTAATGGGAGAAGTTGCCAAAAACGGGATGAGCAGCTGGGAGAAAGCAGAAATGCTTAATTCCTTCTTTGCCTCTATCTTTATACAAAAGGAGAAAAAATAGTATAACCCAGCGATGGCGAACCTTTTCGGCACCGAGTGCCCAAACTGGAACACAGGTGCATGCATGTACATGTGCACGGACGTACGCACCAGAGCACCGGAAAGCCAGCTAGCGCGCACATGCCCGTTTTTTGGGCATTTTTCGGGCTGTTTTCCAGATGGTTTTTCAGCCAGTTTCCCGGCAGTGCAAAGACCAGCTGGCCGACATGCTGGAAACCAGAATAGCAGCTGGCGACAGCGGGCATGCCCACAGAGAGGGCTCTGCTTGCCACCTCTGCCATGCGTGCCATGTGTTCACTTCATGGGTATAACCTATCAGAAGTAGCATCATGGGAGGTAGAATAAGATTACAGGTCAAGATAGGCAAGGGTTGGGCAAGAGAACACCTATCTTTGGAGGGGGCTTGTAGGTCATCTAATCCAACCCCCCGCCCAAGCAGGCAATCCTACGCGAGTGATGGCTAACCTTTTCCAGACCAAGTGCCCAAAGTGCACAAGCGAATGTGTGTGCGTGCCCCTGAACCACCAAAATGCAATGCAAGTGTGGCCCCCCACACATGCATCCCCTCCGTGCATGCTTGTGAGGCCCCCCCACACATCCTACACCCTGCGCATATGCGGCAGAGACCTGATGACCAATTGGCCAGCAGGAGGCGCACGCACATGCACAGCAGAACTGAACTGGGCTAACGCCTCATGTGCCCACAGAGAGGGCGCTGCATGCCACCTGTGGCACGCGTGCCATAGGTTCACCATCACTGTCCTACACCATTTCTGACATATGGCAGTCCAGTCTCTTCTTGAAAGTCTCAAGTGATGAAGCTCCCACAACTTCCAAAGGCAACTTCTGTTCCATTGCTTGATTGTTCTCATTGTCAGAAAAATTCTCCTTATTTCCAGGTTAAATCTCACCTTGTTCATTTCCATCCATTATTCCTGTCTGCTTTGGAGGAGTTCAAATCTCTAGGACCAGATAGTTTACATCTCAGGTTATTGAAAGAGTTGGCAGATGTTATCTCAGAATCACTGAATGAAATGTTTCGGAGCTCCTGGACCATGGGGAACCCGCCAGAAAAACTAAGACCAATCAGTTTGATATCAATACCTGGGAAAACCCTGAAAAGGATATTCAAGAAGCAGATTTGTCAACATATAGAAATGAATAAATTGATTACGAGAAGTCAGCATGGTTTTGTTAAAGGCAAATGATGCCAAACACCCCTTATTGCCTTCTTTGATGAAATGACTAAATTAGTGGATCAAGGAAATGCTGTGGATATAGCAAGGCATTTGATAAAGTAGACTATCACCTCCTAAATGGCAAGGTAGAACAATGTGGGATAGACAGCATCACCACCAGATGGATTTGCAGTTGGCTGACCAACCACACTCAACAAGTGGTCCTCAATGGAACAATGTCTAGATAGAGAGAATCATGCAGTGGTGGTAACTCAAAATATTGTCCTGCTCTTCAACTTCTTCATAAGTGATCTAGATGAGGAGATGGAAGGGGGTGCTTATCAAATTTGTGAATGACACTAAGATGGGGGGAATTGCTAACATTTGGGATACCATGTCCAAGTCTGGTTATCATGATGCCAAAAAGATGCTGAGGCCCTAGAAAAAATGAGAAAAGAGCAACAAAGATGATATGGATAAATTGGAGGATAAATTGCATGATGAATGTCTAACGGAACTACTGTATGTATGTTTAGGGTAATGAAGAGAGGCTGATGGGAGACTTGATAACAGTCTACCAGGACTAGGAGGGCCGTCACAGGGTAGATTTATTCTCTGCAGCACCTGAGGGCAGGACAAAAAGAAATGGGTCTGGATAGATCCTTTTCAGGCATGAAATGTTGAGGGAAGATCCATACACATGGGGGCTCTCTAGAACAGTATTTCTCAAACTTGACAACTTTAAGACACGTGGACTTCAACTCCTAGAATTCTCCAACCACCATGAACACAGTACTAGGATATTGTCTTCACTTTGGAAGCTGAGAATTGGGATTACATGACACCATTTGTCCATTTATGCATTGCAGCCCGTCCAGCTGAGCCTTTTGAGCTACTACCTCATGCAGTTCTCCTACAACTGCTCCTTGATCATGACAATTCCTTTTGACGTCAAACAGAAGGTGAGTGAGCTCTGGCAGAAGAGATGAGGTCCAGCTGGTCAGGAAACACCATTCAGATTCCAGCAGGAAATGTGTGTCTTCCTTTGGGTGCTCTACCATCATTTACGCCTTTCGGTTAATTTATGTGGCAGCCCATCTGGCCCATGAAGCTCAGCTAGTTCATTTGAAAACTCCACAATCAATCAAAAGAGGAGGAAAAGTAAAACAAAATAAAACAAGGGTGCTAGTTTGGTGCATCTTAAGATGCAAAACTATATTCTACAAAAATTCTTGTCAGTATGACCTTTAAGTACATCATAGGGCATTTTTTTTTAAAACCAGGGTGCCTCAAATGAGCTAACATATGGAATGCACTCAAAATCTGGCAGCAATGATGTTGTGCCTGCTTCAGAGCTCCTGACTGTTGCTGTGCTGCTAATGAGATTATTGTCAGGGTTCTGACGGGTGTTTCCCATCCCTTCTGGTCTATGGCAACTCGAGAGCAGGCCAGGGATGCTTTATGAGTTGACAATTATATGATCTTCATTTTCAATTTTCTGTGACCGTTTCCCAGCCAGTCTCGCAATCCCTTCCTATCTTCCTCCACCCAGCAGTAGTCAGATACCTGTTTGCTGGGAAGGAGAGGGGGAAGGGGAAAAGGAAGGGAAGGGAAAAGGAAGGAAGGAAAGGAAGGAAGGAAGGAAGGAAGGAAGGAAGGAAGGAAGTGTTAGCATCAGCTTTCCTGCTTTAGCTGCCATAAGAAACGGGGAGGGATTAGGTATGGAGCAGAGGGGGGGAAGAGAGCAGGAGGGGGTTTGTCTTTGTAGGAGGGTACTTCGGGGAAATCGAAACTACATTTCAGAAGGGGATGGCCGACCAACTGTCCTGACATTCCTGATGGATGACGCTGCCAGACGTGTTGCCACCTGACCTTTGGAAGACCTTTAGATTGGCTGAGAAACTATAAACACGAGGGGGGGAAGAAGCTTAGTAGATGCATTTCGCGCGTTTTGATCACTTCCAGCTTTTCACTGGGATGTTAATCTTTTCATATTCAGTAAAAGTACCAGATTCTTCAAAATGCTTGAGTTTGGGGTTTTCTTTCCTGGATACTGAAGGAAGCATACCTGACATTAAGCTGGAAGTGATCTCAGTCATCCCGGACAAAACCCGAGGGGACTGAAAATCCAAAGTATGTCAGATCGTGGGAGTGATGACGAAGGGAAGATGGGGGCAGCGAGTTCAACCGCCCTCCAGTCGGAAAGAGAAACTGCAGAATGGCTGGAAAAACTCCGTTTGGAACCGGAGGAAGCTAGATGGTCCAAAGGTGTGGGCAGACTGCCGGACTGGGGAGAGAATCCCCGGGGAGTGACGACTTCCAGACCCCGGAAAAGGGAGGCAGTGTGGATGCAACAGCAGAAGGAACGTCTCATGATAGATCAAGCCTTGCAGCTTATCCGTGATGTGGAAGAAAGCAGAAAAAACCGTGAGTCTTTTGAAACTCCTGTGGAAAAGGGGGAAGCAGACCCCAGGGGGGAGGTAGAAGAGACAGCCTGCGGGGGAGAGGAAGAGTTTGAGGAGGGAACATCCCAGGCTTCGGCAGCTCGAGGAAGAGATGCAGCCGGCCAGAGAACCCCAGCCCTGCAGGGCCCCCCCCCCGCAGACGTAAAAAGCCAAAAATCCCCCCCCTTCCTGGAAAGTTTGATGGAAATCCTAAAACCTTGGGATTTTTCCTGACCCAAGTGTGGAACCACATGCAGGATTGGGGGGAGGACTACGAAACAGATGCGGCTAAAGTCAGAAGCGTTGCGAATGCCCTAGAGGGAGTGGCGGCTGAGTGGATGGTAGTTCTCCACAATAACAACTCCCTCCTGCTGAGAAATTACAACCAGTTCATGAGGGCCCTTAGAAGACGTTTTGAAGACCATTTAGCTGAACGAAAGGCGAGACTCAGAATGAAGAGCATTCAGCAGGGCCGGAGGCCGGTGGCAGAGTATATCCAAGAGTTTCGTGAACTGGCACCTTATATGACAGGCTGGTCAGAAATGGCGCTTTTGGAGAGTTTCAAGGATGGATTGAATGATGAGATATATCGAGATTGCAGGAGCATGGGGGTCCCCGATGATTTGGATAGATGGTACATAGTAGCTGAGGATGTGGAGATCGAGCTGAAACGGAGCGAACTCCGAGGAAGGCGGATGGGGGACCAGTCATCCTCTCTCTACCGTAAGGGGGCGGCCAAGATGACTGGCGGGAAGACCGAATTCAAACCCAAGTCAAAGCCCTTCACCTGTTTCAAATGTGGGAAGGAGGGTCACCGGGCGACCGAATGTTTCTCCAAACCACCGCCAAAAGCCACCGGGGCCAGCCAAAAGAAAAGCGATAAAATACCCGCCAAAACCCGCGGCACCGCCCTGAAAGGAGAAGTCGTTGAGTTCACTCCCCGGAACCAGCGTGAGTTGGGAACTCCGACCAACGATGACGACAGCGAGACAGACTCCGACTCGGACACCGATGAACGGGTGAGTCACACGGAAGAACCCTTACTCATCCCCGTAGAAGTAAGGGTGCCCTCCACAGGAACTCACGCGCAATTGTTAGCCCTGTTGGACTCGGGGTGCACTAGGTGCATAATTAGCCCCAAAGTAGTGGAGGAAATGGGACTGAGACTGAAAACGTTAAAAAGACCCATTGCATTTTGTCAATTAGATGGGTCGATTGCAGGGGGGGGCCCTGCTAGTTTTATGACCGAACCCCTCGAACTACACTTGGGGAATCACATAGAAAAGCTCAGCTTTATTGTAGCCCCTGGCATGGAAAGGCCCCTAATTCTAGGACTGCCCTGGCTTCGAAAATGGAACCCACGAGTAAATTGGAAAACGGGGGTCCTGCGCATCCGTACGGCAGAACCACCTCCGGAAAAGGAAGGCCCCTCCCTAAGGGACGACATAAGACCAGAAGGGGCCGCAGTAGCCATTAACTATATTGAGGGAGAAGAGAAAATTCCGAAGGAATATTGGGACCTCAAGGAAGTGTTTAGTGAAAAAGCTTCTGATAATCTGCCTCCCCACAGGGCCACTGACTGCACCATTGAAATACTCCCAGGGGTGAAGCTTCCCAAACCAAAAATATACCCCATGACACCTCGAGAATTGGAGGAATTACGAAATTTTATTGACAAAAACTTAGAACGGGGATTTATCGAACGAGCCAAACCCAAGGTAGCAGCGCCAGTAATGTTCCGCGAAAAGAAAGATGGATCCTCCAGATTAGCTGTTGTTGCATACCTGACAGGAAGGAAGGAAGGAAGGAAGGAAGGAAGGAAGGAAGGAAGGAAGGAAGGAAGGAAGGAAGGATTTCCAATACAAGATTCCCAAAGGTAAGGAAATATTTCTGAAACAATGACTCAACAGGGCACACTTGTCTAACTCCACTCAAAACCCCTTCCTCATAACAGGATGTATAGGCCCCCTGGAGGAGCTACAAAATCAATAACCCAGTTATCTTTTCTTCTTGCAGGACTTTAATCTGTTAATTGTCCACCATGTGACCACCGTCTTGCTCATTGGCTTCTCCTATTGCACCAATTTCATCCGTATCGGTTTAGTTGTCATATTTCTACATAATATTCCCGATAGTCTGCTGTTTGTAAGTTAATGCTCACGAGCACTCTACCTCTATTCTAAGATTTTAAAAAAAGAATATGTTCTTCCCCTTCCTCTCTTTTTGGGAAAAAAAAACATCCATGTTTTTTGGAAAGAAGAAATAAATCTAGAAAAGAAGTTATACCAGCCTTCTCTTGCCTGCAGTCTGCCAGATGTGGGACCAGCTAGATAATTGCTGCCATAGTCCCAATCTGAAAAGTTTCTTTGAAGGTCAAAAAATACAAAAAGAAAACAATAGTTCAGAGAAAGAAGCAACATTAAAAAAAAAATGAGGATGAAACTGTTTCAAATTTTAGATATCCAGTTTTGACTTTGAAAACACGTTTGTTCTGTACTCAACACAAAATGTTTGGAAATGAGCTAATCCCCACTTTGCTTGCAAGCTGGTCTGCATCAGTGGTGGAATTCAATTTTTTTTTACTATCGGTTCAGTGGGCGTGGCTTGGTGGGCATGGCAGGGAAAGGATACTGCAAAATCCCCATTATCTCCCCACTCCTGGGGGACGGATATTGCAAAATCTTCATTCCCTCCCCACTCTGGGGCCAGCCAGAAATAGTATTTGCCGGTTCTCTGAACTACTCAAAATTTCTGCTACTGGTTCTCCAGAACCTGCTGGATTTCACACCTGGTCTGCATCCAGATTTTCATATTCTGCAAACTATTATTCCCAGGATCCCACTGGGAGATAGAATACAGGTGCTGCAGCTTAAACCCAAAGAAATTTGCCATCGTATTCTGAAAGTTGAGTGTTCTCACAACAGGAGATTCAGCCACTCAACAATTTCTGTCCCAAAGGTGCTTTTTCAAGAGGAAACTGGACTTTCTGGTTTTTCTTTGAAGACATTTTGCTTCTCATCCAAGAAGCTTCTTCAGCTCTGACTGGATGGTGGGGAATGGAGGGATTTATACTCCTTGTAGACAGCTAGTCATTTGCATTCTTTTAGTGAGTTGTTAAGCCCACCTGGAGGTTTATCTGTGTCCTCAGGGTCACCTGAGTGATGCAGATGGGTGTGGAGCCTTCTTGGCTGCAGCCAATTGGCTCAACCTCCAAGTGGCCTCAACGACTCACTAAAAGAATGCAAATAACCAGCTGTCTGCAAGGAGTATAAATCCTCCCATTGTCCACCATCAGAGCTAAAGAAGCTTCTTGGATGACATGAAACACCTGCAAAGAAAAACTAGGAAGTCCAGTTGCCTCTTGAAAAAGCACCTTTGGGACAAACATGATCTGGATGACTGAGAGTCTCCCTAGATATCAACAATTTCTGCTTCTTTTTCTCTTTTTTCCCTAGGGTGCAAAGATGTTTAACTACCTGAAGTGGAAGAAAACCTGCAACACACTCTTTACCATTTTCTCAGTGCTATTCCTCTTTGCTCGTGACATCGTTTTCCCTTACAAGTATGTTTTGGGAATGCATGCAAAAAGGGGAGGAATTTGACAGCACAATTGCAGAGCCATCTTTTTTTTGACATTTCCCCTCACATCTTGCGACATCTTTTTTATATTATGATGACCAGAACTGGATGCAATATTCCAAGTGTGGCCATACTAAGCAGTGGTGAAATCCTCCGTGGATTGCCACCAGTTTGCTGCCTGTGCATTTGCAGTGCTCGCCAAACGAGTGCTTCGCACTGAAAAAGAAGACTTCACTAGGTAAGTAGAACAGTGAGGGGGGAACAGCTGGATTTCCTGGTTTCTAGTGAATATAAACCCCGCAGCACAGCTGATCGTCAAACATACTGGTTCAGATGAACTGGTAGCTTTTTTAAACTATTGGGTCGCCTGAACCAGTAGCTTTTTTTTTACTACTGGTTCACCCGAACCGGTAGTATTTCACCCCTGGTACTTGTTGTGACCCAGGCCCAAGTAGGTAATAATTGACACAAACAGTTCCAAAACAAACAGACTTTATTAGAACAGCTGAGAATTAACTCATTCTCAGCGTAGTCCAAACTAAATTAAAACAAACTCTTCATAACACAAATTCTTCAGTCTAATCACCAACCTTGGTATAATTAGGCAAACTGCCAAAGGCTTCTCTTGGCAAAAGTTCAAAAGCAGAAGACGCCAACAAGAGATAAGTGCTGCAATACTATCAACGTTGTTTTCTGACAAAGAGCCCAAGAGCCGTTGCTGGTCTTTTAAGCCTTAGGGGAGGGGCCAATCATCTCTTGGCCCTACTCCTGAGTTGTCCTCTTTGCTTTAGCTGCTCTTGCCTTCTGGCAGCTCTTCTCATATGTGCACTAGGAACAGGCTCCTCCTGTTCCTCTGCCTCTCTACTGTCAGCTTCTGGAGGCTCCGGAGTCCGCACATCACTCCCTGACGGCCCTGGCCCCATCTTTGCCTCTGACGGAGAGCCCTCATCCGGGCCTTTCCCTGACTTCAGGACTGGCCCATGTTCTTCCTCAGCCTCATCACTGTCCGACTTCTTTGCCAACTCCGCAGGCTGCTGGCGAACCACAACACTACTAAAGCTTTGTTAGTATCACTTTACAAAGCCTTACTACAGCATACTTGGAATCCTGCATCCAGTTTTGGTCACCACAATATAAACAAGATGTTGAGATTCTGGAAAGAGTGCAGAGAAGAGGAACAAGTGTGACTAGGGGGCTGGAGGTTAAAACATAAAGAATGGTTGCAGGAATTGGGTATGTCTAGTCTAGAGAATAGAAGGACTAGGGGTGACATGATAGCAGTCTTCCATTATTTGAGGGGCTCCTACAAAGATGAGGAGGGGGTCAAACTATTTTCCAACACACCAAAAGGCAAGACAAGAACCAATGGATGGAAACTAACTAAGGAGACAAGCATCCTAGAGCTAAGAAATTTCCTAACAGTGAACGCAATCAACCAATGGAATAGCTTGATTTCAGAAGTTGTGGGTGCTCCATCATTGGAGGCTTCCAAGAAGAGACTGGATGGCCATTTGTCTGAAATGGTATAGAATCTCCTGTTCGAGGAGGGGTTGGGCTAGATGACCCCAAGGTACCTTTCAAGCCTATTATTCAGTGTTCTATATTCTATCCCAGCTTGTAACTGCTATAAACAAGTAGAAGTTACAACCTGTATGTAACCCATCAAACTTCCAGAGTTGGAAGGTAACATCCATCTGTTATTCTCTACTAAAATACTTCAACCTTAATCAATTTTGGCTAAATTGATCATCTGTTCAGATCATCTGCTCCTGTTTTGAAGCCCTAATGGATATCCTGAATTCCTAACCGGATTGATTATCTCAGCCTTGAAAAGTACTGAGGAGATAACCATTTTCCTTTTTCTTTTTCCACCCCCTCTCCCTCCTCAAGGGTTCTCAACACCACATATTACTATTTGGCGGAGCTCCACCCGCCTTATTTTGGCTACTACTTCTTCAATGCCTTCCTGATGCTCCTGCATCTTGTCAACATTTTATGGTCCCGCCTGATCATCCTCGTGATTTATAGGTTCCTGATCCATGGCAAAGTAAGGGCAGAAATTGGGCACTTTTGAATTGGGCACTCCACACTCGGGAAGGTGGGAACAGAAGGCACGTATTGGGGGGGGGGAGACCACCAATTACTTTGGCTTAACCCTGCTCCACTTTCATTTTTATTCTGTGTTTTTTTTTTTTTTAATTTGATTTATATGCCGCCCTTCTCCGGAGACTCAGGGCGGCTTACAATGCGTTAAGCAATAGCCTTCATTCTTTTGTATATTTTATACAAAGTCAGCTTATTGCCCCAACAAACTGGGTCCTCATTTCACCTACCTTAGAAAGGATGGAAGGCTGAGTCAACCTTGAGCCTTGGAGAGATTCGAACCAGCAGAAATTTCAGGCAGCTGTGTTAATAACAGGGTGCACTAAACCACTGTACTATCACTGTTGAGTCTGGCGCAAGATTCCTTGGTCCTGCTGATAACTCGCTCTTGTCTTTAATTTTTCCCAGTTTGAATTGGAGATTATAAACTCTGCAGGGGAAATGTGTGCTCTATTTTGTTCCGTCCAGATGTATGAGCCTCAGTGGCGCAGTGGTTAGAGTGCAGCGCTGCAGGCTACGTCTGCTGACTGCCTGTAATTTGGCAGTTCGATTTTCACCAGGCTCAAGGTTGGCTCAGCCTTCCGTCCTTCCGAGGTTGGTAAAAATGAGGACCTCTTGCTGGGGGCAAGAGGCTGACTCTGTAAACCGCTTAGAGAGGACCGTAAAGCGCTGTAAAGCAGTATAGAAGTCTAAGTGCTATTGCTATCATTTAAGAGGGCTGTTGGGAGGGGGGAATTCAGTGGTAGTGAAGGGGAGTCCCTGCTTGGTTGCGTAATTTCATTCATTCGTTTGGAATGTTTGTGGGTGGCAATTGAGATGTGTGCCTTGGTTGACGAAGGCTGCAACTTCTGGTGCAGATGATTTTTTGCACTTTCACAAATGTCCTCTCCTCAAAGGAGAAGCAGGCGCTCCCCATCCACCGTTTCAGACGCCCGTTTCTTTTACTTCCTGCTGAGGCACGAGGCCCACTCTCAGCCTTTGGGCTACTATTACATTCAGGCACCAATAACATCCTGCCGGAAGCACTTCCTTCATTAAAACAAGAGAGAAAAAGGAGTTCGAACACCACCTTGGTCTTCTGTTTGACACAGAATGGCCATACTCACAGCTCCAAAACCAGATTCCCCACCTTGCTTTCTGGCAGTGGTGAAATCCAAAATTTTTTACTACCGGTTCTGTGAGCATGGCTTGGTGGGTGTGGTGTGGCTTGGTGGGCGTGGTAGGGGAAGGATACTGCAAAATCTCCATTCCCACCCACTCCAGGGGGAAGGATATTGCAAAATCTCCATTCCCACCCCACTCCAGGGGGAAGGATATTGCAAACTCTCCATTCCCACCCCACTCCAGGGGGAAGGATATTGCAAAATCTCCATTCCCACCCCACTCCAGGGGAAGGATATTGCAAAATCTCCATTCCCACCCCACTCCTGGGGGAAGGATATTGCAAAATCTCCATTCCCACCCCACTCCAGGGGGAAGGATATTGCAAAATCTCCATTCCCACTCCACTCCAGGGGGAAGGATATTGCAAAATCTCCATTCCCACCCCACTCTGGGACCAGCCAGGGGTGGCATTTGCCAGTTCTCCAAACTACTCAAAATTTCCGCTACCGGTTCTCCAGAACCTGTCAGAACCTGCTGGATTTCACCCCTGTACTCACAGCTCCAAAACCAGCTTCCCCATCTACCCTTTGCTTTCTGGACACCTCTGCTCAGTGATGCTTTCATCAGTGATAGGTGGCTGAGAATTGGAACGTAAGAGACCACATAGATTCAACAATGCTCCCTAAATAAATCCAAAAATAGACTTTTTGACACAAACTGTTACATTGCCACACACTCCTAAAGGATGGCCTTATAATGGCAGTGGGCAAAAGACATGGGATCAAACTCACCGCAATACCCAGTCTATAGGGTGCCCTGTTGTCAGCACTGGACACAATCTGAAAATCCTAACCCCAGGGTTGTTGGGTTTTCTTTGGGGGGGGGGCATATTAAACATCAGGACCCAAATAAGGGATCTTGTACCCCTCCCCTCTACAACAGCAAAGGAAGCACACTAAAACTCTTCAGAAAGTTTTCAGGGACACCAAAAAGACTCCATGCTACAGCATCTCAATTTCAGGTCTTTCTGGCAATTTGTTATGGAGGGGCCACTCATCTTTGTTTTCATGATATAAAATGGCCCCCCAAAATGTACAATCCTGTAGTCAAGTGGGAGTCCTACTCTGGGGTGAAATCCAGCAGGTTCTGACAGGTTCTGGAGAACCGGTAGTGAAAACTTTGAGCAGTTCGGAGAACCGGAAGAAATTTTGAGTGGTTCGGAGAACCGGCAAATACCACCTCTGGCTGGCCCCAGAGTGGGGTGGGAATGGAGATTTTGCAGTATCCTTCCCCTGGAGTGGGGTGGGAATGGAGATTTTGCACTATCCTTCCCCTGCTACGCCCACCAACCCACCAAACCACACCACGCCCACAGAACTACTAGTAAAAAAAAAAATTGGATTTCACCACTGGTCCTACTGCAACCCTCAACCCCAGAGCTTCAGAAGAGGAGAATGACCATGGATTGGGTTTTTGAAGAGACATCAGAAATAATGTGGATATCTCAACTTTGCAGGGGGTTGAAGCTCCCATGCCTCTTAAATGTTTTGAAGCCCCTTCTTCTTCTAAAGAGCTATGGGCTTGCCTGTATGCCATGCAAAACATAGCATGGCCCTTGGGTTGTATCTCCAGTGCAAAAGGCCAGTTGTGTGTCCCCCAAAAGGGTTTTTGCCCTCTGATGGACTCCAGCCAAGCAGGATTGAAGAGAGGTGACGTCTCTGTTTCTCTGTTGTAGGAAAAGGATGTGCGGAGCGAGTCAGAGGGCAGCGAGGAAGAGGATGTGGATGAAGTGGACCAGAAGGCGGAACAAAAAATCAACAACAAAACATCACCATCATCAAGGAAGTGTGCAGCAGGTGTCCAGATGAAATCATAGACACTGACACGAATTTCTAGTTTTCTATAAATAAATATTTTTCACATTCGTATTTACAGCAGACAGGGATGCCACACAGAGGAGGGGGTCAAGCTATTTTCCAAAGCACCTGAAGGCCAGACAAGGAATAATGGATGGAAACTGACCAAGGAGAGATTCAACCTAGAAATAAGGAGAAATTTCCTGACAGTGAGAACAATCAACCCATGGAACAGAAGTTGCCTTCAGATGTGGGAGCTTCATCACTGGGAGCTTTCAAGAAGAGATTGGAGTGCCATCGGTCAGAAATGGTGTGCGGTCTCCTGCTTGGGCCCCAGGGTGCTGTCAGGCTTCGGTGCTATCTTAAATAAACTTCATTCTCAAACGCAAAGTCTCTAATGAATCACTTTTATTTAAGAATAGAAAAAATCCGACATTCCTGATTCAAGTTGCAGCCAAACTGGCCCCTCCTTCCAACCCCCTCCTCTTCCGCTCTCCAACCCCAATGTCCCATTGGCCATCATGCAGATCTGTCTCTACGTCCCGGCACGTTCTTTTCACAGGAATGTGCCCCCACATCCTCTATCACCCAGGTAACCCTATCTGTTGCATGCAAAAAACTAGGTAAAAGTTCATCTCAGCAATAAATCAACGCTTCTGCTCTCTGCTTCATTTCGTTCATGTCAGTGCTGGAAGAGAGCCTAATTTGGAACGCTGACATCCGGCCCCTCTCCCTTCACTTCTGCGACGAAACCTATCCCATAGGGAAAAACACAACAAGATAAGTATCATTAGCCCCTCCTTGGCTGCGCACCCCCCCTCCCGGCTTTCCCGGGTGGTCTGCATGGAATTTTGCTATAAGGCGATCAGCTTGGATGTTTGCGCTCTTCACCCAGGAAGCCTCTGACAACGGGTAGCCCTTCCATTTAATTAAGTACTGGAGGCGCCCCCTGTGCCATCTTGAATCAAGAATCCACTGCACTTCGTAGTGCGTTTGGCCCCCAACAACCAGGGGCCCAGGGGGTTCACGTGGCATTGGCCTTAAAGTAGACCCCACTACAGGTTTTAGAAGGCTACTGTGAAAAACGGGGTGAATTTTCCCCAAAAGCCGTGGCAACTGCAATTGCACTGTAATGGGGTTGATTATTTTTATTATAGGAAATGGTCCTATAAATTTTGGGCCCAATTTCTTGCTCGGGAGTCTAAGTCTCAAGTACTTGGTGGAAAGGTAAACTTTCTCTCCCAACTGAAATGGTCTTTGGGGAGTTCGGTGCTTGTCTGCTTGTTCCTTATAAGATTGAGCCGCCTTTGCCAGCGCCCTCTTAACATTCTCCCAAGTTTCTCTCAACATTGCCATCCAGTCGGTCAAACTGACTGAGGAAGGGGGCTCCCTCGGGTACTCTGGCATGGGGACAAAATCCATGCCACTCACTATTTTGAACGGGGTTAGCCCCGTGCTGCTGTGGACAGCATTATTATATGCAACCTCCGCAAAAGATAGGAGGTCTGCCCAATTGGACTGCTGGTAGTCGACGTAGCATCTTAAATACTGTTCTATCATAGCGTTCAGTCTTTCTGCCCCCCCACTGGTGCTCGGGTGAAATGCTGAGCTGAGCCCTTGGGATGAACCTATGGATCGTAGAAACTCCCTCCAGAACTTTGCTGTGAACTGGACCCCTCTGTCGGAGATGATTCTCCATGTAGGCGGTAAATGTGTTTCAGGAACAGTTTGGATAACTGACGGGCTGAAGGCAGTCCACTACAAGGAATGAAGTGTGCCTGTTTGGAGAATAAGTCTATTACAGTCCAGATCACTGTATTTCCACTGCTCCTCGGTAGGTCTACTATAAAGTCCATTGCAATCTCCTCCCATGGTCTTGTTGGCTCAGCTACTGGTTGCAACAGTCCAGGTGGGCACCCTAGTCTTGTCTTCATCGTGGCACAAATGGTGCAGCTTTTTACATAACTGTCTACGTCCTTTCTCATGTGGGGCCACCAGAACTGCCTTCGTACTAGGTGCAGAGTCTTTAGGAACCTGAAGTGTCCCGCTGGTTTAACGTCGTGGCTCCTCTTGAGAATCAGGATGCGTAAACTCTGTGGGACATAGAGCTTTGTCCCCCTCCGTGCTAGTTCATCTCTTTTTGTCAAGAGATGTTGATTGTCCCGATACCAGGGGTCTGTCAGCGTTTCATTTTTTAATTTTGCAGTTAAGTCACTTGCAAGTTGGCCTTGCTGGTCACGTTGTTGCCGTCTGGTGATCACTTGGGCCGCAGCTTGGGTGGAGGGGATGATGGCATTCACTACCTGCTCCCGCTCACTGTTGTATTGGGGCATCCGGGAGAGGGCATCAGCCAGGAAATTTCTCCCTCCTGGAATGTGCTTAAGCTCGAAATTGAAACGATTGAAGTATTGTGCCCACCGCACTTGCCTGGGCGATAGTTTTCGTGGGGTTTTTAGGGCCTCTAGGTTTTTATGATCAGTCCAAACTTCAAATGGTTTCTGGCCTCCCTCTAGTAGATGCCGCCAGGTCAACAAGGCCCATCTTACTGCAAATGCTTCCTTCTCCCACGCCGCCCATCGCCTCTCCGTATCGGTGAGTTTGCGGGAGGTGTAGGCGCAGGGTTGTAGATCACCTTGGTTGTTCTTTTGGAGTAATATGGCTCCTACTGCCACATCACTTGCGTCTGCTTGGATGACAAAAGGCTGTTCCAGATCCGGGTGTTTTAAGACAGGTTCTTTCGCGAACAGTCCTTTTAGCGTCTCGAATGCCTGTTGGCAGGTCAGGTCCCACTGTAGGGGTTGTCCTGGGCAAGGTTTCATCGCTGGGCTTCCTGTCTTTAGGAGGTCTGTCAAAGATTTGGCAATCTTCGCGAACGAGGGGATGAATTGTCTGTAGAAATTCGCATAGCCTAGAAAACTTTGCAGTTGTCTGCGGGTGCGAGGGGGCTGCCATTGTAGAACTGATTGGACCTTGGCTGGGTCCATCTCTATCCCCTCGTTTGATACTCGGTAGCCCAGGTAGTCTAGCCGTGATTGGTGGAAATCGCATTTTGACAGTTTGACATATAGGTTTGCCCGTAGCAGTTTTTTCAGTACTTGGCGGACGAGGGGTATATGTTCGTCTATGGTCTCCGTGTAGATAAGGATATCGTCCAGGTAGACGAGGACCCCTTTGTAAAGGTGTTCATGTAAGACTTCATTTATTAACTGCATGAATACTGCCGGGGCTCCTTGCAATCCAAAGGGCATTACTTTAAACTGGAAACTACCCAGGGGCAGTTGAATGCTGTTTTCCATTCATCTCCTGCCTTTATGCGTACTCGGTAATAAGCTTCTCAAACGTCTAGTTTGGTGAAAATCTTCCCTTTAGCTAGGTGGGCTAGCATGTCTTTCATGAGGGGGAGGAGGTACAAGTTGTGTACGCAAACAGCGTTGATACTTCGAAAGTCGACCACCAGTCTCATGGAGCCATCCTTTTTCTCTTTAAACATGACCAGCACCGCTACCCTTGGTTTTACTGGCTCAATAAATCCCCTTTGTAAGTTTTTGTCTATGTAGTCCCGCATTTCCTGCATTTCTCGGGGCGTCATGGCATACATTTTAAATTTGGGTAGTTTCGCTCCCGGGATAATCTCGATGGCACAATCGGTCTCGCGGTGGGGGGGGCAGAATGTCACAGTCGGCCTCGCTGAATACTTCTGCAAGGTCTTGGTACTCCCCTGGGATCTGATCTGCATTACAAGCGGTGGTGGGTGCAGCTGCCAATTGCTTTACTGTACCTTCTGGGAGGGACCTTTGTGTTGGTGGTGTTTTGTTTTGTGGTGGAGGGCTGCTTTGGGGTCTCAGCGTGGGAGGGAATTCTTCTGGTCGGGGCGGCAGGCGTTGGGGGTCCTTTGCTATTCTCAGTCTGTGGGTCCCCTCTTGCCACCAAATGATTGGGCCCCATTTGTCCAGCCACGAGAGTCCCAATATGACTGGTTCTGTCATCTTGGGGGCTATTATGAAGCAGATCGTCTCCCAGTGATCTGCTAGTTCTAGTCTCACGGATTCAGTCAAATGTGTGGCGTATGCTCCCCCCACTAGGGACCCATCAACTTGCTCAAAAAGAATTGGTTGTTTGAGCTGTTTAGCTCAGATTCCCAATTTCAGAACTGTGGGTAGGTTGATTAGGCACCGTGTGCTACCAGAGTCTATTAGGGCTTGGAAAGTCTCTTGGGCCCCTGTTTTGGGGGCTGTCAGGCATATGGGGAAAAGAAAAGGATGGACAGGTTCACTCACCATCGGGTCGTCTTCGCCTTCATCCTCCATGTCGTAGGGTTCGGGGAACTGATCTCCCTCATCTGGGGTTCCTCTGGTTTTGGTCAGGTGAGTGAAAAACTCCGGGATTTGGGGGGTTTCCTGCAGTACGTGGGTGGCGCGCTTGGGCCCTCGTTCCGGTCATGCTTTGGGCGGTGGAGCTGGTCCCAGTCTAGGCGTTCCACATCTTGCTGCTATGTGGCCGCTCCCCCCACATCGGTAGCATTTCAGTGAGCTCCGTGGGGCAGTTGGTCTGTGGGAGGGCTGTGATGTTGGGGTTTCCCGTCTGTTGAGTGGCCCCTGGTCTGGTCGGCCTCTCTCCTTTCCCTCTGGTGGTTTCAGCGTGTCGCTCGCCCACAACCCTCTGTCGACTTTTATCGCTACCCGGAACCATTCAGAGAGTCGGTTTGGGATGTCACAATAAGCAGTCACTTGGGAAATTCTCTTATCTAGGCTTGTTCTAAAAAAATACACCAGCAATCGCTCTGGTAGGGGAGGCAGTGTCCCAATGACTCTCCTGAATTCACGGATATGCTCTCTGATGGGCTTCCCCTTCTGCATTAGGTTTCTGAGCTCGTCTTCCACATAGGGGTCCTCCTCCTCCTCCTCATAACGGGCTCTCAATAGTTGCAAGAACCCATCCGCATCTTGCAGCTCGGGGGCCCTGTTTTTATAGAGGGATGCTGACCACCTCTTTGCTTCTCCCTCCAGCCCTTTCGAAATGGCATTCACTAGGGCTCTGGGGAAAGGGTAAAGGTGTCCAAAATGCTCTATGTATATTTCAGCTGAATCGAGGAATTGGGTGAGGCTGTCTGGGTCACCATCGAACTTCCCTCTGAACTGGGGTGATTCCTCCCTCTCTGCCCTCTCCTCTCTGTGCTGAGCTCTGTAGGGCCGGCCTTGGTGTTGATAGTCCTCTGCCTCATCTCTCATCCTGGGGTAGGGAGGTGCTGCCTCATCTAGGCTTTGCTGCTTTCTGGGAGGGGGGGGAACCATGGATGCGTCATTGGGCTCCTTCTCCTCCTGCTGTGGAGGGGGGAAGGGCTGCGCCTTGGCCTACGGCCTCTCAGGTCAACATCCCAGACTAGTTCTCTC